AATGCTTCCACCTGCAGAAGAAAACCACGTTGGTGCAGCTCTGCCAGGTGCTGTGATGCTAACTTTGGACCATCCCATCCCCACTTCAGAGCCCTCCCTGGCTCTACACCATCATACCTAACCAGAGCTCCCCCAAGCCAGGGTCCAGACAGCTGAGCAGCCACTTGCTCTTACTGTGTGGGCCTCCTCTGGAGAACATCTTAAAGTTTTTTTCTTTTTCTTTTTTTCTGTTTTTAGAGACAGTTGCTCTGTGTAGCCCTGGCTATCCTAGAACTTGCTCTGTAGACTGGACTGGCCTCAAACTCACAGAGATTGGCCTTCCTCTGCCTCCAAGTGCTGGGATTAAAGGCATGCACCACCACCACTCAGCTAACCTCTGAAATTTATTCGCCAAAGAACAGGCACTTTATGGCAAACTCAAAAACACAATTCAAGCGCATCAAGGCTTACTGGCAGGCAGGAGGCACACCTGGGCCTTCTGACTGCAGGGCTCCTACAGAACAACACTCTTGCTTTTCCCTCTAGAGAATGGACCCTGGACAGTGGCTGTGGGTGGGAAGGGATCCTAGCTAAAGAGCTGTAACATAGGAGCTTGGGTGTCTGTGAAGTTTCCTTTCCTTCCTCGGAATACTCCAGCATGCTCAGAATGCCCAGGGATGATGTGCCCCCCGCGCCAGAGCTGCAACCAAGAGCTCAGACATCCTATGACACAGAGATAGACCGCACAGTAAATGTCATCACCCCTGACCCCTGCAAACTTCCTACTTAAACATCCTGAATAAGCAGGCAGAGCAGCTGGGCAGCGCATGTGCTGCCCAGCCTCAGCAGGGCACTAAGTAAAACACGTGCTTGGGAGCAGGAGCCTAATTGCCTGCAAATGGACTGTCCCTCGACTCCCTGCCTTCAATACACCTTTCTATGTCTGACGGTGGCTTCCCTTGGAGGGCTTCAGCAAGTCCCCTGAAGCCACAAGGCATTCCCTACAACAGTTGCCCCTTGAAACTTATATCCAGGTGACCCAAAAAGGGATCCCAGGAGGGCTGACCTCAGCCCAAGTGGGGCCTGAGATGATGACGTGTAAGAAAGGTAGTGATGGACTGATCCACGGTTAACTGAGCCCCTGTAGGCAGGAAATGTGACTTCAACTGCCAATCATGGAAGCTGCGCTCATCTAGGCTGTCCTGCATGGTTGCCTCCACAGTCCACACACAGCAGGAAGGGAATCCTTGCCCTCGGCTCCAACCAAACCCAAACCCTGGGCGGGTCTCAATGATCCTTCTGCGGCTCTGAATATAAACTGCTAACTGGTACCACCAATGACTTGACTGCACCTCAGATGGAGCAGCCAATGCTCCCAAACACCAACCAACATGGCTGGCAGAAGATTAACGAACGTGCTTGCCACTAAGTCAATCTCCAGGATCTACATGGAACAAGGAAAGAGCAGACTCCCCTGGGATGTGCTCTGACCCCACATCTGCACAATGGCACATATTCACATGAGAAATAAGTGAAATGAAACAAGAATTCCAAGCAATCGGGCAGCGGACACCACAGACACCCTGACAGTGATGCAGGCCCACGTCAGCACCCGTGCAGTCAGCTCCTACCATGAGCAGGAGACCCCAGCCCGAGTCTTAGCCAATCCTCAAGACAGGGGCTGAGGCTTCTTGCAGATGAAAATTTGTGGGACAGGGTCTCATGCTGAAGGGTAGGTTAGGCTCACAGCAATCCTCCTGTCTCAGTCCCCCCCACCCCACAACTCCCATGCTAGGATTTCAGGCATGAGCCATCATCCCCAGCTTTGCACTATTGTTCTCAGTTAATAACTTTAAAAATGAAAAATGGAAGTGTCAGTACCATGTACAAAGAACACATCTGAGTGGAACAGGAAGCAGTAAAGACAGTCACAAAATAGCCTTGCGAGCAGAAAGAAATATTAATACTGCTATTCACCAGGTGCTAAGATGTACGCAGCACAGCATGGGGCTTTAAAACACACACACGCATATACTCATAAACACACAGTGTGAGAGAGGGACAAAGACAGAGTCAGAGAGACACAGAGACACAGAAAAAGGTACAGAGAGATACACAGAGGAAAAAAAAGTGAACAGTGAACAAAAGCTGTCCATGGGTTTACATGAGATTAAGCAGCAATGCCATCTCCCAACCAGATCTTCCAGCTAGGTTAGAGCTGAGAATAAGGGCTGAATGGGGAAGACTGCGCTAACTGATGAATGCATACATTTCAAACAGGAGCCTCCTCCTAACTAACAGCTGTGCGCCAGGGACCTAACTCTACCCTTAGGGAGACAGGTGGGACACCAATTTCATCAGGCTACACACACAGACTCCTTCCAACCACCTGCCACCTTGGCATGATCAACTACCTGAGCTAGCTTCATCTGGTACAACCTTTTTACACATAAAAGGTCTCCAAGGTACTACTTGTGTGGCCCAGCATTTCCAAAGAACTATACCACAGAAAGAAAGCCATAAAGCACCCAATCACTACATGAGCCCCCAGTGTCCCAAGGCTGCTTCTTTCCCCACAGACAGACAAGCCCTGTGTTGGAGCAGAAGTTTTCCTACAGAGGATCAAATGCAAAGCAGGCCAGCAGCCACATGCCATAAGGTAAAAAAAGGGCAGGGCCCAGCTCTAATGACCAGGACTCCACGCTGCACTCTGCTGCCCCTCCCTCGAGGCACTGTTCTTAATCAAACACACTGGGAATTCTGCAGCACGCTGTGCACAGCTTCACGTGTGTGGCCACAAGCTCCCCAGCGTACACCCAGCCTTTTTGGTCAGGGGGTATACGCTAACAGAGGGGCTTCACTCAGGGCTTCCAAGTGCCAGAGCACGGCCAGGGCCATGACATAGTATTTCTGAAAGTAACAAAGATCAAAAAACCCAAAGGGAAAGAGGAGAAAGCGAGCGAGCGGGCCTTGGCGGGATGCACCACTTCTCATGCCACTGCGATGGGAAGCTACTCATCTCGAATGAGCCTTCCCTTCATTTGAACCATTTTTCTCAATAGGGGCAGCAAGCTACCTGACTCAGTATATGCACTGAAGGAGAAATAAGATCCCAGCCATTGGTGAAAAGGAGGAAGCAACTGTGATTGGGGAGTTAAGGACATTTCTCACCTACGCACTGGGCTGCCATTTTTTTTCTGGGTTGGCACCGGATCCCGTTAGATCACAGGATAAACCGCCTCATTTTCACCACTCCAGCACTCGTCATTATGATGTGGGGGCCCATTTCTCACACTGTGACAGTACCCTGAGCAAGCCCCGTGCGTGCACAATGACACTAACATGCTATGCAAAGAAGGAAAGTGAGAGGGGGCAGAAGGGACACTCAGACAGAGGCACTGGAAGACTGGGGACCCCTCATCTCTGTGTTGCTGTATCCATACGGGACAGCAGGCTTTGTGTATGCAGGGCTAAAACTCTGACCTCCCTCTGCCTGCTTGTCTCCTGGGCCTCTTGATGTCCTGGCATGACTTATCAAAAACCCTGAGAATAACGAGACTGGCTTCCTTTATCATTTTATGGATAGGTAGGCTGGAAGGGATGTTCTCCACAGTGCAGGAGGTTGGAAAACAGTTCATATGTCAACAAAGGGCTGAGTCTTGATGGATGAGGGATGCCTGATAGAGGGGACCTGAGGACCCATGAGCAGGGAATTCGGGTGACTAATCTGGCAGAAAGCACTGATTCTGGCCCACTGTTCAGCATCCCTGTCCCAGCCTTTCAAAATATGTTCCTGAGCCCTCTCCATAAAACATGGATGCACGCATGCACATCTTAAGGCCAGCCACACACTAACAGAGGTATCTATGACATTTCACCCTTCCTCATCCATCCAAGAATGCAGGCTGGCTCTGCTGGCTATGGAGACTGACCTCTGTGCTCAGCCCTGCCCTCGAGGTTTTGTTTGCCCCACTATGCCTGGACACTCCTTCAACTCTTGCCTTGCCTGTCAACCATCCATCCATCAAGTGCCAGCTGGTGCTCTGATGTCAAAGTCAGTCAGGGCCTTTCAGGACCAAAAGAGCCCAGGCTAGGTGCAGCTCTTCCTATGAATGAGGCACATCCCACAGGACAAAGACTAGAGCGTCACTATAAGCGGACACAGGAAGCCATGGATGAGGGAAAATGCTACCATCAGCAACGACACACAACTCTAGAGATGCACATCCAGAAGCCTCAGGAAGCAAACGGCTTCAAGCACCTGATGAAGCCTGACCAAATGGGACAGTGTGCAGAAGAAAACCCATCACCATTACCCTGCTCACAGGCCCAGGCAGGCTTCACACCGGTGCCCTAAGCAGACGTGCAGCTGAGGCTTCCCACACCGGCCTTGAGGGACCTCACTAAGAGCAGAGTGGCCGCACTGCTCCCTTGGACCCATCAACAGATGGGGTCAGACTGTGAGTGAGTAAGTGTGCTCGCTGGCAAGCTCTCTTTCTCTCTCCCCTCACCCCAACTGTGTGAGTGAATAAAGATGTGCTCTGTTCTCTCTCCCTCCCACCCTGTGTGTCCGTGCGTGCCTGAACATGCCCATGTACACAAGTCCAGACCAGGACATCCATTATGTTCTTCCATTGCGCTCTGCACACTGACTAAGAGGCAGGGTCTCTCACTGAAGAAGCCCACTACCATTTGTGTTAGGTTGATTCAAGATCCACCTGTCTCCACCTCTCAACGCTGGGGTAAAAGGTCATGTGGCCATGCCTAGCTTTTTATTCTGCTGCTGGGGATCCAAACTCAGGTCCTTATGCTTGTCCCATGAGCCATCTCCCTAGCCCCTATGGGCGCCGTTTCAATGTAATGATGAAGCTGGCCGTTACTGGCAGGAGCTTTCTGAGCCTCATGCTCACTGGGCAGTTCCAGGAGTGCCCACAGTATATCTGCATGGGTCTTATTTTCACCCTACAGACTGCCATCTAATGGACAGTCACAGGGTAAGAAAAGATAGGCCTATACAACGGGCTAACTATAGTAGCACAGATCAAGACTGGAACAGCACAGAAAAGACTAAGCATGGTCCCTGTCCAAGGATGACACATAAAGTTGGGAAGCAATCCACATTAAAGAGGGGGAATAGGGGAAGGGAGGAAGGGAACAGGCTATGTGAACTACAAAGGCATAGTGCAAACAAGTCAAAGGGTCCTCTTGGCTCCTGGCACCACTGTTTAACTTAGCCAAACCTAGTTACAATTATAAAAACTTCCTTCCATGGGAACACTGTAAAGTAACCAGGAGAAACAAAGCAGTTCTGAAATCCAAGACCAGAGACCAAGAGTCTCCCTGAAAATCCACATTCCAGCAGGGACACAAATTCTCCCCTACGGTCGACTGGAAATTCAAGTCAGACAGCTTGGCCAGGGAGGGCCTACAAGAGAACTTCCGGCTACAAAGAGAACCTCAGGTTCAAGGACATCTATAATGGAAGGGGGTGGTCCAGCAGCCCATGTCCAGTTCCACCAGGTACAAGGCACACCAAAGCCCCAGGGGGCAGAGACCAGGTGCTGAGGTTCACAGGCTGGCCAAGATGGCTCCACTCAAAGATTTCCAATCAGGAAGGATATTTCTCCCAGCCTCTGGCTTGGGGAAAGACTACGTAAACCTCAGGGGAACTGTCAGGACCACCCCTCTCCACGCACACCCACAGAGGTGCCCTGTCCTTCTACCTGGCCTGAGAGAAACTAGGCAGAGACACTGCTTGGGGGAAGAAAGACAGCTGCTAGTAGGACTGAGGCCCTCACAAGCCAGCCAGTGATTCCTAGACACACAGAAACAGGGACCACACCATGCAGCCTGTAATTGTAGATTCTGCTTCATCCTGCCGGGGGCAGTCTCCAGCCAACTTCAACAGCCAAGTAGGAGCAAACCCATCCTCCCAGGGAAGCCATACCTGAAGCTTCTGGTCACTCAGAACGACAGATCACACACACACACAAAGGTGCCATTTCAACAAGGCATCTTCCTCGAGAGCCTCACAGAAATGCCTGTCACTCCATTGCTTGGCACTCAAGCATGCCATCTTGAATAAAGATGTCAGTGACTTGGCAGCCAGCACTTGAGGAGTAAGTCCAGGCCAGACCTGGCCCTATGTAGGTGATGAGGGTGTCCCGGACAGCAAATACATGAATCTTGTGTGAAGCTAGATGCAGCCATGTGTCATCTTAGGATGTGATTCTCCCGTTTATGCATCTGGAGAGAACATGGAAACACTGGACATCCCAAAGTCCACCTTCCAGGATGACCAGCACAGACTTGGTCTGACCATCCCTCCATACCACCCCCCTATAACAGTGGTTCTCATGACCACCCCTATGGAGGACACACATCAGATATCCTGCATATCAGATACTTTATGATTCAGAACAGTAGCAAAATTACAGTTATGAAGTAGCAATGAAATAATTTTATGGTTGGGGATCACCACAACATGAGAAACTGTATGAAAGGGCCACACCATTAGGAAGAATGCAGAGGCGAAGAAGCTGGACCCTCCAACAGACCCAGTGGGCTTGGCAGAGCTCACACTGCAGCTCTCTCATTAGTCAGTGTTCATCCCTCTCTGCTATAAAAGCCTGAGGCAGAGCTGTAGGCCAGGGGGAGGCCTAGGTATCCCATGTGGCCCAGCAGGGCTGCACCTCTCACATGGATGCTCTGACATCTCCTCTCTTCAGGTTAAGAGCAGAAGTAAACGCGACCACTGTCAAATCCCTGGCCTGAGCTCAGCCTTTGGTAGCACAGCACGCGCCCACGAAAGCAACTGAACCACTTGCTTTTATCCCAAATAATGTCTGCGTTTTAGCTGTGGGCATTTCTTACTGAAGCTCAGTTCCCAGCTCCCTGGTCCAGGTGAGCCCTACTCAGAACCTTCAGGTTGTACTGAGCTACTATGGCTGGCAACTGGCCTTTGAGTCTACCTTGCATCCCACTACCTCCTTTCCTCACAGAAGCCTGGGGCACTACACCCTGGGCAGTACCAGAATGGCCAGGATCTACTGTGGCTCAACTGGCCCAACAGGTCCCAACCCTCCTGAACAGGAAATCACATCTAATGGCAAGAACTTGGGGGGAGGTGGGGTGCCCCACATCCTGAAACCACTGACGAAAAGTCACCACTGCAAGATGACCCTCTACTCTGGTGGCCAGGGTCACACAGGAGAAAGTGGGATTGGGTGTCTCTTGTAAAGCCACTGGGGCTGTTGTTAGGCCAGTCAGGCGCAGGAGATGGGCGAACAGCACAGAGGAAGTGTCACTGCAGTGAGGCTGAAGGCTGTGGTGTCTGCAGGGCTTTGAGAGCTGTTCACAGTGCAGGAAACACAGACATCACAAACGGGTAGAAAATGAGAACACAGCAATGGCTCAGTGGGTGACCATGAAAGCTTGGAGACCTGAGTCCAAACTACAGAGGCCACATAAAGCCAGGCACAGTATATGTGTTTATACAACCAGGGCTCCTACTGCAAAGTGAGATGCAAAGGCAGGAAAATGCCCAGAAGCTCAAGGGCCATCCAGCCTGGAACACAAACAAGAGACCCAGAGATAAACAAGGTGGAAGGACCAACGCCTGGGATTGACCTCTGACCCTCACACATGCGCGCACGCACACACACACACACATATACACAAACACAAAAACAATTTGCTTTTTTAAAAAGACCATATTGAAAATCTTCTCAAGAGCAGCACATTTTTAAATGATTTCAAATGCTAGGTACAGGGCTTGTAAGCATTCCTAAGTTTTGAATGCATGCATCAGACATGTGCTATTGTCAGGTGGTTTTGAATGGGTGGCCCCTGAGATGAGTCTCGGGTTTCCTGGTACTGTTCGATGGGCGCATTAGCAAAAAGGGCAGGAGCCTTTACCGGGGGCAGCGGGTGCTGAAAGCCGATGTGCCACGGATGGACGGGCCCACTGATGCTTCCTTTTGTGAGGACTCGGCTCCACTGCTCTCCAAAAACGGCTCTCTAACGGCTAAGACCAAGACCCCAAGCCCTGTCCCTGTGCTCAAGGCCTCCAAACTGCCACACTTGCTCTGACAAATATCCTGCAGGGCCTGCCGCTGAACTGCACTCTGCTCCCCAGGTCCCGCTCTCAAGTCAAAAACTGTAAAGAGAAGAACATCCAGCAGACTCAAAGTCTGGGCCCTAACTGCTGCAACCCTTCCACGAAGACTATCAAGCCCTCACTAGTCAAGTCCTCCCTTTAAAATGTCACCAGTGACCCAACATTAACATCATCTCCGTCGTCACCATCATCATCGTCACTGTCATCATCACTGTCGACATCATCACCATGCAGCCATTAAAAAAAAAAGAGAGAGAGAGAGAGACAAAACCACAATGGAATCCGTACTGTGAACTTCCAAACTGCAATGCTACACAGCGGTAAAAATGAAGAGTATACATGCGGCGTGACTAACATCACCCAAAGTCACGTTTAGCCAAAAAAAGAATCACTGATTAATGTGCTCTTATGTAAAATTCACATAAAATGGACAAATGAGGTATACAGATATATGGGAGGCAGTAAAAGAATTCTGTGGACAGGAGTTACCTGGGATTCTCGAAGCTTCCAGAAAGCACGCATCATAGCATCCTAAAAAGGGGCAAAAGCTTCAAGGTAAGAGGTTGGTGTCAAGAGCTCTTCTCAGATGACCCCAAACAGGGACAAGTCCAGGCAGCCACATCCACCCCTCACTGGGCTGTGCAGCTCAACCAGAAGCTCCCCCAAGAGGTCTCTCTGCCCTCAGTCTCGTCATTTTTTTTCTCAGGGCTACCACTAATGTTGTCTGAAGCAAAGACAACCCAATGAGGTGCAGAAAGTTCTACCAGAGAAGACTACATTCCTAACAGCACACTTCTTCCTAGCAGTGTTTGAATACAATATTGTTCACAGTAGGGTGCTGGCATGTCAGCTGCTCCAAGGCTGCGGGGGGGGGGGGGGGGATCATCTTCCTGGCCAACTGGGGCTAAACTGAGGAATAGTAGCCACTGGGTCTCTGCTTTCCTGCTCCTTGAAAAGCTTGTGTGCATGAACACAGAGGATTCCACAGCACAGCCTAACATAAAACTTCCAGTCTAAAAAGCCATCAGTCAGATATTACCATGCTCTGCCTCCCATGGGGGGGGGGGGGAAAACAGTTTTCAAAAGCTATAATAAAGTAATAACTGGTCCAAAAGCCATTTTCCACTAATGCAGAGAAAATGGTACTACAATGCTGCAATAAACAACAAGTTTGAAAGCATCTTTCCTCCGGTACTTCTGTCTTCTCTGGGTAACCCACCTGCCACAGTGGGTGCTGTAAGGGTCGAACGGACACTAAGCACTGCCTGGAGAGCTGACTTCAAAAAGGTCCCTAAGAAAGAGGTCCCACCAAAAGGATGGAACTACACTAGGAAGGAGAGAGGGAGGGAAGGTAGGCAGCTTATCCTCAGATAAGCAAGTAGGAAGGCAGGAGGTTTCTCCCAGTGGGAAGACTCACCCACTGTCTGCTTCACACCCTCCACAACACATGGACAGCCACGAGAAAACCTTTGGGCTCAGGTGCCATCCCCCTCCCACCTCTGTACAAGGATAAGCACAGACACACAGTCACTCCTGAATGGCGGAGGGTCCTCCAGAGCTGGCTAACACAACACATTCTGGCACTATAATCTAGCAGCTTGGTAGAACAGAACCTCAAACGGGGTGGGGGGGTCACTCTTCTCTCCCACAGACACAGTATATCTCATCTACAAACAACTCTTGCCCCATCCGAACACTCGGATTCCACACAACGGTTTGTATAACCATAAATATGCCCATAACCTCACTGACATCTCCAGAGCATAGTACAGATTAAGATTTTGTTACTGTTTTAAATAGAGATTCTCGTGTAAGACAGGCTGGCCTCAAACTCACCATGTAGGGAGGCATGACCCTGAGGCCTGCGACGCTCCACCTCCTGAAGTGCTGGGGTTACAGGTGTGCACCACCACACCAGACTGAACCTGGAACCTCACGCATACGATTCGTGCATTTTATAAACCTAACTACATCCCCAACTCTGGCTTAAGTCTATAGCTAATCTC